GCTAGGTTATGTGGTTGCAGAGCTACCGGGATTTAAAAATAGTTACGCAAAATGAAGCGTGTCCTCTCCGACCGGCTTTAAAGGGTTATGGCCCTTACAGCAGACATTGCCAAGACATGAGAAAGAAACAGCGTCCTCCAACAGTGAACCTTTCATTGTTCTCTTTTCTAGTGTGGCTTTTTTTTAAGAGCAATGTGTAAGATTTTTTGCAATATATAAGATGGTCTCGTTTTTTAAATGAGGAGAACACTGAGGCTGACTGAGGGATGGTGTGGAAATGCCAGAAAGATGAAAAAACAAACAGACACTAGTTCAGTTTAATTTTAAGCACAAAGACTGCGCCTCTGTTGTTTAACCACCTTTGCTAAAGGTGCTGTAAAAGAACAGCTTATATACACCCTGCAATAAAACTGAATTTTTTCAAGCCATAAGACCACAATTATAAGCTTAAAGACACCAAACTGCTCAGTATTACTGAGGAGAGTGGTAAAGCTGCAGGAGAACTATATTAGTTGAAGGTACCTGATTTTCCTCTGACATGACTCTTTGATTCATCACTAATGAGAGGACTTGAAAGTTCACATACAACAGGTCCAGTGTTATTGCCAACAGCGGTGCGTAAGTTGTTTTATCAGCCATGAAACCTCCACTTCTGGGCACAAGTGATCCAGATGAGAGCCACGTGACAGTTTCATGGTATATTTTGTTTATCTAATTATTGAATCATTCTGGCAAATAAATTTCATGCGTAGTAAGACAAACCTATCAATGGTTGCTATGATAATTAAAACAAAATGAAACACATTATACAATATAAAGATGAAAATAAAACCAAAATGTAGCTGATAAAAAACATTTAGAGGGTGCATGTTTTTTTAAGAAAAGCAAGATTTTCCATCTTCAGTAGAAGAAATGGTCCCACTTAGGCGACAGGGCTACTTTCAGCACTATTATCGGTCCCATCTAAAGTGCAAAGCCCCATTAAGAGCATTATAGTCATACAGGGTCTTGAACAGCATTATTTTTTAAAGTGACCAATGAAAAGCATGGATTTTCTGTCTGAAATGATGCCTGAGGTGAGTTCACCATGTATTACACAAACATGCACACAAACACACACACACACGAATGTCAGCCACTTCAGTCTGACAGACATAGCAATAGGAAGTACTGTAAAGTGCTTCAAGAGCTGCATTTTGATTCACGGACTGTATTAAAAGAGAGCATTAAGCTGTATGGAGTGCAAGCCAAAAAGAAAGGTGCTTTTAGGTTTAAACCCCATATAAAACGCTGGCTGAAATATAACCATGGACTGCTACTTTGAAAATCCTGCACCAGTAGATAAATAAAAATCTGACGCAGAGCTCCGAACCCCCTGAACCAATATATCGCCAAGAAAGCACTTTCACCATTTGGGTTTTTTTTCCATAAATGTCTTTAGAGCTTGACATTCACAGTATATAAGTCTCATGAGCTGTGTCACTTTAATTTAAAATAGCTGAAAATCAAACACAATAAAGAAAACCCAATTTAAAAGTGAAACTCGCTTGCGATCACAGATTGGCAGTTCTAGTTAAACACTCTCGCAGTAACAATTACAACTCTATCTTTTTTTATGAATCGCGCTTGCTGAGTTCTATACTTTTATTTCCTGACACACAGTCTTGTTTAAATTATAAGGGGCTGACAGACAGGCTTTCAAGTGCCATCATTTTTTACTGGCTGTGTAGATGAAAAAGACAGACCCTGCGCACTCTCGGCCTGATTCATCCCATCCTTTCACTTCCCTTGACAAGTGGCCTTCCTGTCTGTACTGCAAACTTTGTGCAAATCTCTTTGAGTGCTCCCTTTAGATTAAGCTTCCTGGCAAGGTAAACACGTCTCTCTCCCTCGGTACACTCTCAGCACCGTATTAAGCTGGACGCATCTGACAATGAAATAAAATCCTTGCACCGAGTGAACGTTTAGCATTTTTCCACACTGTGTAATTTCTATTGTGAAACAAACATCCACAAATTGATGTCCTGCATATTTGTAGTTTTAAGTTAAGAATAAAGAAAAGAGTAAATTGTTGCCAAGTTTGGTGGCAACATTATCAAGCAGGCCTTTTATGGTATTTAAT